AGCTCGTGGGTTCACGATGAACCCAGCTCGTGGGTTCACGATGAACCCAGCTCTTGGGTTCACTTGGAGGTAAAAAAAGAAAGGCGGAAGGAAGGAGAAGATGGGAAAGAAAGATGAGAATAAATAAGTAATTAAAAGTAAAAAAAAGTTAACCATGTTATCAACTATTGTGAAATGGATTTTTCACGTAATTTAAGTAAAAAAGCAAATAAATTTTTTCATAATTAACTTGTTACATCAGTCAAAATTTAACAGAATGATTAAAAATGGATCAAATTTTAAAATTTAAAGACCAAAAATGGAATTTGTTCGGTACAAAAAAATGAATTTTTTCCTATAGTAAAGGGACCAAAAAGGATATTTAATCTATTTGAAAACTAATTATATTAAAATATTTAATTAATTTTCAAATTAAGTTATCAATATTTAATAAAATATATTTTTAAATTTTAAATTAAAATTTTCATTTGCTAATAAAGCTAGAATTTTAATTTTTTTAAAATTAAAATTGATATGTATTATTTTTTAAATATATTAAAATTTTATTTGATTTGATTGATTTTATAAATTTATAATTAATTAAATATTTAAAAACACTAATATATAAATTAACTTTAAATTATAAAATAATAGATATTAATTGTTATATAAACTATCAATTAATAATTAAAACTTTCAATTATTTTTAATAATTAAATCAAATATATTTATAATTTTTATATGAACTTAATTAATAAATATTTGAATGTCCATGTCTTTTAAAAAAATGATTTAATAATTAAAATTTTAAATTTAAATTTTAAAATACATAAAAAAATTTTAAAATATTATTTTTATTATATAATTTATTATTCATGTCTCCGACAAAACGAGACCAACAGCTATGCACTTTGGTTTTTTTACGTAAAAAAGGTACAACTTGAGTCCCAAAAGTTGATTGGGCATGTTAGCAGCATAATCCTGGGCCACGTCCAATGCACGCTCGTTTTCCCATAATACAGCTTCAGTTAGACAAACTATTCTTAAATTGTTTGTGACTGACTCGACTTTTGGAAACTACTTAACTTTAAAACTTGATCTCAAACTTACCATACAGCTTCTTCCTCACACTGGACTCCCCCTCAGACCACAGTAGTCAGTACCCGTCTCAATTGAGTCCCCCCATTTTCTTTTTTCTTTTTCTTTTTTTTTTTTTTTTGAACAAGGGCAATTACGAAGGAAGGGAATGGTTCAGGTCAGCCTATAAACTGAGAGAAGCATCAATAGCTTAGTGCGAATATATATATATATATATATATAAACAAGGGTAATTATAAAGGAAGGGAATGATTCTAGTCTATAAATTGGAAGAAATACTAATAACCCGTAGATTTAACGTAAATATATATATATATATTTTTTGAACAAAGGTAATTACAAAGGAAGGGAACGGGTCTAGTCTATAAACTGGGAGAAACACTAATAGCTCATAGTGTTAATGTGAATATTTAAGTGATCGGTGAAACTCAAACTCCCAACTAACCCTACCTAAGTATTAAGACTTAGAGACGAATCCTTAAACCCGAGAGCTAAGTTCAATTGAGTACCTTTCAAGGAGCATAATTACTGCAAAACAGTTTTTTCTTAGGGTCACGACAACATTGATTTTGTATGATTTACCTTGGAATTAATTTATAACTTCAGTTATCAATTGATAAAATAGTAAATATTTATTATTTAATATATTAAAATTAATTTATAATTTAATATTTTTAAATATTATAATTAATTTAAAAAACTATAAATGAATAAAAATCAACTTAACCCAAAATACTTACTACATCATTTTTGTGGTTATAATAAAATAGTGTAGGACAATAACCAAACCCCTCTTAAGATTGCAGTTATACAAGTTATTATAGAAAAAACATTGGCATAAAAAATAATTAGGAAAATTTTGCTCATAGTAGATTCGTTAAACTTTTGCTTCAAATTCAATAAAATTCGATTTGAAGTCCTATATAAATGAAAATGCTTTCAATAGTAATTTCTTTGAGTAAAAATAATAAATCCTAAATTTGATTAATATGACATGTTAGCGTGGTAGGTTAAAGGACGAAAAATTATTACCTTCTATTATATAATTCAAAAAAAAAAAGAAGTTCTAATGCTAATGAAAATATCTCAATTAAATTTTTTATAAGTGTATTAGAATTTTTGAAAGATTCATACGACCGTTTTTGAGCAAATAATTAAAATGTTAAATGATCATTAATTTTAATTAAATAAATATTAATTTTTTTTAAATAACACTCAGCTATCTTTGGCTACTTTGGTTAATAATTTGCATTTTAATAGTTCAACTTAATTTAGAAATTCAATTTTGATTATTGAAATTTTGATTTTTTTTAAATAACACAATTCATTCAATTAATCAAATTCTTTTAATTTCTTTTAACAAAAAAAAATCTTTTGGTTTTTAATCATTAACTAAAGTAAAATATTTCAGTTAACTAAATTAATCAAATAAAAAAACAGTTTTAAACATCAAGTAATTTGCATTTGACCAAAATTAGCTCACCCTAATGATGAACAAGGTAGGAAGAAAATGTAGAGAAAGAGTTTAGATTGTTATTTTTTAATTTTATAATTATATATTTAATTAATGTTTTAATATTTTATAAAAAGGATATTATAGACATTCTAAAATTTTTTGTTAAATTTCTAATGAATTTTATTAGAACATCTTTATTTATATAAAATTTAAAATTGAGTCTTTACTAAATAATGAAGAAAATTTTGATGGATGTACCATGAGAGAATATGAAAATAGTAATTATAACAAAAAGGTTTTTTTAACAAAAATAATATAATTATAATGATATGTGTTATTGGAAGTTTATAATTTTAATATGTTATTATATACATAATTGATTACTTTCATTTAGAGGTCCATGCATGTCACTATATACATATACTCATTTAAAATCACATCATCATTAGAAATTTACAATTTTACATAATATTGTAACTATTAATAACATGTGTATTATTTTAATTAGATTGTTGATTAAATATAATCAACTTTTTTAATACAAATTGATATTAAAAATATGTATTAATTGTATTTTTAATGTGTATTATAAGGACACAAGTTCAAAAGAATTCCAAAAAAAAAAAAAGTACTTGATACAAAAAATTAAAAATTGTTGAGATGTTTTGATATTAAAAATATCATAAAGCAAGTCATTAGGCCTTTTGGATTTACTTTAGGATTTTATAGAGCAATGTAATCAATTATTAAAAATGATGTCATTACTGTTGTTTTGGATTTCTTTGATAGTGGGAAGCTCTCAAGCAAATTAATGCTACCAATATTACTATTGTCCTAAAGACGAGTTGCCCAAATTCTATCGGTGAATATAGGCCCATCAGTTGCTATAATGTAATTTACAAGGTGATATTGAAGCTTTTAACTCAAAGGATTACTGAAGTGTTAAGCATGTTGGTTAGCTGTAATCAAGCTGCATTTGTGAAGGGTAGGTCTATAACAACAAACTTATTGATTTGCCAGGACGTAGTGAGAAATTATCATAAGAAAGAGGGACCTACCAGATGTTTAATGAAGATTGATTTATAAAAAGCGTATGACTTAATTGATTGGGGTTTCATTGAGGCAATTTTAATAGGGTTGTATTTCCTTGATAGATTTGTTCATTGGATTATGCTATGAATCTCTACTACTAGGTTCTTTATCTTGATAAATGGGCAACCAAAGGGTTATTTTCTAGGGTAAAGAGGACTTAGATGAGGTGATCCAGTCTCCCCTTATCTATTTGTGCTTGTGATGGAGTATCTTACTAGAAAATTGAAGGAGCTAGACATGTAGGAGAAGCTTAAATATCACAATAAGTGCCAAGCTGTGTAACTTACCCACTTAATCTTTGTAGATGCTATTATGTTATTTTGTAAGGCTGATAGTGAGTCCATTATACTGATGATGCAAATGTTCAAGGAGTTTTCCGAAGTTTATGGCTTGGAAGTGAACAAAATGAAAGGTCAAATTTTCTTTAGTGGAATTAGTGAAGGATATAAAACCACCTTAATTTAGAAGTGGGTTTTGTTGAGGGCTAACATCCAATCAGGTATTTAGGGTTGCCTTTGGTTTTCGAAAAGCTATCTCCTAGGGCATGCCAACCTATTTTTGATAGGATCCATAAAAAAATTAACTCATAGGTAGCAAAATATCTTTCCTGTGCTGGCAAAGTTCAATTAATTAACTCTATAATATTTCACATTTAATTTTTCTAAGGTGGTGCTTTATTGATTCCTAAGAAAATGTTAAAGTCAACTGATGCTACTTGTAGAATTTTATTAAGTGCAGTAAATGGAATTACAATACTATGTCCCTTGTAACATGGGATAATGTATGTGTGCCAAAAAAGGAAGAGGGACTAGTAGTGAAGTAATTGCAACACTAGAACAAGACAACAGTAGAAAGATTGGTTTGGCATATATGCCAAAATCAAGAGTCTCTATGGGTTAGGTGGGCACAGCTAGTGCTTTTGAGGGGTAAAAACTTTTGGAAGACCCAAATTCTTGTGGAATGTGCTTGGACATGGAGACAAGTTTTCAAGCTTCATCCTCTGTTGAAAAATGCCATTTAGATACAAGTGGGAGATGGAAGACAAATTTCTTTATTCTATGATTGGTGGGCAGGTGAGGTAGGGTTTTGTGACTTGATGTCAAAGGCTAAAATTGCTGTTTGGGGACATGCTCTTATAGTTAGTTAGTGGTGGGATGGGTTGGATTGGACTATCCCAAATAGTTTCATGAGAAGGCATTCTATGCTTGTCCAAATTATTAGGAGTCAAAAACTATCCTAACAAGTTGATAAGGCTGTGCGGAAACTTGCAAGGAATGGCTTATTTGCTATTTCAAGTTGCTATGTGTTTTTAAGAGTGAAACATCCCAAGGTTGAATGGCACAATATTGTTTGGGCAAAGGGCATCTTCCAATGACATAGCTTTATTCTTGGCCTAATATTGTGGGGCAGACTAAAAACTAGAGTTTTACTTGCAAATATAGGTATGAAAATTGAGGAAGGGTGCTGCTTGTGTTACATACACAAGGAAACTTTTGAGCACTTATCTTTTAATTGTAGTTTTGCTAAGGAAGAGAAGAGGCTGGTTTTAGAATTGTTAAATATTCAATGAGAGCCAAAAAGTTGGAGTGTTGAATGGCTTTAGCTTAGGAAGGCATGTAAAGGTTGTTTAGCTCAACCAAAGAAATTGAGGACTACCTTAGCTGCTGCTATATGTATGATGATTTGACAAGAAAAAAATAGGAGAATAATTTTTAGTAAAGTTTCAAATGGTAAGTGTGCGTATATAATGAGATAGTTGCTTTTTGGGGACTAAAGTTTTGAGAATTGTAAATTCATATGTATGCTTAGGAGTATAGTGTATATACTATCCAGTGCTCAATAGAAAAACTTGCTTTTAAAATATATATATTATAATATTTAATTTCAACCACATAATAAATAAAATTTAAGTAAAATCAATATCATATTTCACTT